TATTTTTCTTGAATGCGAAAAAAAAATTGATTTTCAATTTCTTTAAATCTGTGCCAAAGACGTGGTTACTGTATTAACTCTAAAAAATATCGCCTCAAAGTATCTAAATGAAAAAGTTTATTTTAAATTGATATTATTATATAGTATATTATTTTAAAAGTATATTTTTATTTTAACTGTATTAGGGCGATCCTATTTTTGAATATCCTATTTATGTTATATTATAAAATATAGTTATAAAATATATTATAGAATATATGTTATATTACAGAATATAGCACTGAGAACATATTACATTTGTCGACGATTTTGATTTAATGCTTTGCATAGTGCATCGCGACGTTCATTTCCAAGTCGTTTTTCATTTTCATTTTCATATATAATTTGTTCCTGTGGTTTTTCCATTATTGCCTCCATACCTTCTTGTACATATTCGCATATCAAATCATCGCTAAAATCTAGACATATATTATGCAAAACACAGCATGCAAGTATCGTTTTGGGTATTAAATCGACTCTGTTCATGTCCAAATATTTTAAGCGTCTAAATCGACCAAATAAAAGAGCAAATGCTCTTTCAATTGTTTGTCTTGTCTGTGAAACTCGTGTATTAAAAATTCCCTGCTGTCTTGTCAAATTTCCTCGATTTATATATGGAGTAATACACCACTTTAAAGTAGGATAAGCTTTATCGGCTAAAATAAATTCATCATTTGGAAAATACTTTTCTGGATTTTGACGTATCAAATTATAAATGTCAGAATTTCTAAAAATCCTAGCATCGTGTACTGAACTAGGATATCCTGAATAACTATCTATGAATTTTAAATTAGCATCGCAAATTGCTTGCAGCGTTATGGCGTACTGCATTTTACGATTTCGATATGTTTCTGGATCCTTTGATGGTGCTTTAATTGGTACATATGTCCCATCGAGAGCACCTATAACACCATCAATTCCAGCCATAGCTTTAAATTTTTCTTTTACCAATGGAAGTTCCTGTTCTGTTGGCCAATGAATCACTTGAGGTGCTAAATCATTTAAAGCTGTCGTAATTCGAACAAAGCAGGAAAATAATGTAGATTTGCTTAAATCAAATCTTTCTCCAACTGATCTGTTGTTACATAAAAGAACATCATTTTTAAATTAAATTTAGACATAATAAATATATATTTAATGATAGTTTAAAAATAAATATACAATTGATTTTGGTATTGTCTGAATTTTTAGAGTAAAATTTTCTTTTCATCATAATGTTATTTACTTTTAGATTACAGAAAGAGCAAACATTTACATACTTCTAATAAAAATCAGCGTTACATATATATAAAAATGTCAGGATACCTATAAGAATCTGGCGTCGCTAATAGCCATATTGTTGCTAATAACTGTTTTTCAACTGGGACCATTGGTCTCCCAGTTCCAGTAGTATTAGTATTTTCTATTTGTGGACCAACAATAATAAGTAAACTTTGGAAAGTTTCACGTGTTATTCTAAAATTTGACTGAAATTGTTTGTCAGTGAAATGATGAATGGTTTCTTCCACATATCTTTCAATGCGTTTAGCCTTGTTTCTCTTTTTTTTGAGCAAATAAGTGTCAATAAAATTTCAGTTTCACTATCAGATAATGATGAATCGGAATCAAATTCGTAATTGGACAAAAGTTTTTTTCCTATTGATATTGCCGTGCCAATAATTGCTTTTTCTCTGTCACTACTCATGCTTTCTTTCGTGTATAATATAGTTTGCTAAAAAAAAATTAAAATATTTTATTTTATATTTTCAAAAATACTTATTTATTTAAAATATGCAATATTTATAGTGAATAGTTCGAATATTGAATAATGAATGGTAAATATATAGTAATATTAGAAGTCGATAAGATTATTAATACTAATTGTTAATTTGTATGATTTTTTCATTTATTTTTAAATATTATATATTACTTCTTTAACGCAAATTAATTTCAATTTTATTGGTTTAACTTACTTTTTATCTTATTCTAATTCTACAAATTAAAAAAATTAAAAGTAAATTAAACTAAGATTAAATTTCATCTACATTAGAATTCTACAAATAAACATAGTGATGAAGATAATTATTCAAAATAATATGATGATAATTATATTTGTCAAATTTATATTACGCGATCGTTTTACCTCAAGATCGTTCATAAACTTTAGGTAGTCCTTGAAGATTGATGTGTCCCTACACGTTCACTGACTAGTCCCCGTCAAGTTAACCTATACCTCAGCGGGTAAGGTTTACGAACGCACCCCTGAGCATCATACTGATCTTGCATCTGATTGGTTACACCCAAAAACATGGAGGATCGACGCAAACCAGAAAAAGAGTGGAGTGCACATATTGGTTCTACTGTGATTACGTGTCGGGGGACAACTTCTGTATGTAGTTATACTATCTATCTTCTGTGCATGATTCAAGGCGCCGTTCGATTTTGATAAGCCGGGCGTGAACGCGAACGTGAACGTAGAGACGTTCAAGCGCACAAACGCCGAGATGTCGAGGAACGACGGCAAGAAGGACACTTCGGCGACCGCGTTCCGCAAGATCGATGTGGACCAGTACAGCGACAACAATTTCAAAGAGGAGGACGCCGACGCTGGCGTAGGCGCGCCCACCGGTCCGGATGAGAACGAAATTCTGACACTTCTCAGCCAATATCCTTTGCAAAGCTCTTTCGTGTTCGATGGAAGTGATCTTTTTTCTTTCTTTCAGCGATCTAGTTTTTCCTTAACTCCATTTTATTAAGGGTAAGAACGCGGAGGCGTTGATTTCGGTGTTAAAGTCCGCGCCGCTGGAGTGTAAAAACCAACAAGTTAAGGTAACCTAACTTCAAAACACGCATTCTCTGACTGACAATGAGTGCGATGACTGTTCGTTTCTTTCGTGCTTTCGCTAGGGTTGGGTAATAACTAGTTAATTAGTTAAGTTTTGAAAAGAGTTAAAAAGTTGATAACTTTTAACTTAGCTTAGTTAATTTAAAATGTATTGATTTTTAATTTCAATTAGTTATTTTTGACCAGTCAATTTTTTTTATCTCTGAATGCTATTATTGTTTTTTATAAGTTATAAACGTAATGTTTTTAAATCAAAGTATTATTAATTTTTATGTTCATTTGTTATCAATTGTTATTACAAAAAATATATTTTTATATAAAAGTCATAATTTCTTTGTTTTAAGTTTTAAAAGAATGAACAAACACAAAATTTAATATAAATGTTTTTAAAATTAACTTTAGTTAATTTAATCTTAACTTTAACAGAGTTCATTTTTTATTCATGCAAGTTTTAACTTAATTTTATAAGCAACTAATTTTAACTTAACTTGGTTTAAAAAATCATTAACTTACCCAATCTTGGTTCTTGTAAAATGATATACTTTTTATAATTTTTTAAATGTCAAATGAGGGGGTGTTATATATCAAAAATGTGTATATAAATTGGATAATTGTGAAGGAGAGGGGCTTCTTCATCAATTTAGCTGAAACTTCATAATTTTGTGTTTGATACGTAAAATATGAATCTATAAGTTAAAATTGTTGCTCTCAATTAGAAGAAAATATATATATATATATATATATATATATATATATATATATATATATATATATATATATTTCTTTTTACACTGGTTATTGATTTTTCTTTATTCTTTAATTAATGTTTATATTCAGAGTTTCTTGTTAATATTTGATTTTTATTTTACTTTAATAGTTTTATTTTAGATGAATTTATATAGTGCTTAAATTCTCGAGAATTTGCTTTATTTTTTTAACAGTTATATAATTTTTTAATAAATTGTTTTAAAATCATCTGCTAACTTTTGTATTTATATGGAAATTAATATATATATATAATTTACAAAACTTATAGAAAGTACGCAAATAAATTTTTATGTACAAAAATATGTGAAATAATATGTCTGTTTGCAGGACAGTGCTCGGAATTTGACACAGAAGGTGCTTCTAAGTATAAAGTCGAATCAAATGGACGATTGCTTAGCACAATTAGATCGTGACTTAGTGGATGTTCTAATGAAGTACATTTATCGAGGTTTCGAAATTCCGACAGAAGGTAGCAGTAGTCACTTGTTAATTTGGCATGAAAAAGTATTTAATATAAGCGGCGTTGGTTGCATTGTTCGTGTATTCTCCGACAGCAAGCGGGCTTGAAGTTTTGTACATTTTGCAGTAATGCTCATTACGGTAATTACCATTAATTCTTACTGTTATTCATCATCATTGTTAATATGAAGATGTAGATAGGAAAGCCATTCACACAATTTTCCGTATAGGAAATATAACAAATTTGTGTACATTTGTTATCAATAAAGTAATTTTTATTTCTTGTACATTTGAAGAAATAATCCCTCTACATTTTCCATTTGTTATCTTTATTTTGCTCTAAGGAGTATAAATGAAAATAATCACAATTATTTAAATGCAAAGAACTTACAGATATATTTTGCTGTTTTAATACTCAAATATTTGTAATAAACGCAATTTCATTATCATAATATCTCAAAATCTTTGTAAATCCTGATGTCTTTCACTTTTATATTTTATACTCTTTAGAGCTATAAGAAACTAAAAGAGTGTATATATATATATATATATATATATATATATATTTATACATATGACATTATTTTCATATAACAACAATAAAGTCATTCTCATATTTGAACATTTTTCATTGTATATATACTATTATTGACCATTACAATGAGAATTGACGACTAATGACATTTGAATTGGCACAAAATAAAAGTATAAATAATTTGGAATAATATACCAACATTTTATTATTTCATATATAATATTTATATATATGTAACAAAAACTATGGTTCAATTAGTTAACATGGAAACACAATGATGTTAATTCCTCTATATCAGATGTTTTTAGGTTCTATTGTTATAGAATATGCAAGATTAGCAGGTTGTAATATCTATGGATTATCTGACTCTTGTGATATTATCACATTCCACACTGGGAATTTATTGCAAAATTGTGATTTACTCACATTTATCTTTTACTGTAAGCATAATCATATTTGTTTGGTGTATCAGATATAGTGCACTCACAAATACTGCATTTGCTCTGAAAAATATATATTATATTACATTATGATGAATATGAATAAGACATGTCATTGATTTTTAATTAATTAATTTGCATATTTAATTTTCAATTTTTATATTTGCAAATCTTAATTTATTACTTTAAAAATTAATTGTTATCATTTATTATTATCAAGGTTGCCACAGAAATAAATTTTGAAATTCCTGACTTTTCCATATTTTCCAGATGACAATGGATAAATATCTTATATTGGGTTTGTAATTCATTGATGCACTGGTGAATTAGTGCAATAAGTTAAAGTGAGATAAATATATTTTGTTTCACTCCAACTTATTGCACCAGTGTACATTAGTTCACCAATGCAGCAGTAAAGAACAAACCCATTATCACGAACAATATAAATTTGGAAGTTTAATAATCCTGAATGCAAATACATAAATGTTCGTCGCAAATTACATACTTTTTCTTGCAAACAACTATTTATTTTTTTATCATCGATTGATTTCTTTTATTATTTTATGCATAAAAATACTGAAAATCGATGAAAAATGAATATTTTATGAGATATTTCATAGCTTATGTAAAATTATGTTAAAATAAACTATAAAAATCTCGTAAACTATTCATTTTTGGCCACCTTACCCTTATAACTTTTTATAGTAAATACTGCGAGAAATCGATTTATATAAAAATTAAGGTAACTCCGTTTAAAAATATAAATGACCTTTAAATGATCTTGAAAAGAGGGAAAAGTCAGTAACACCAATTTTTTTTCTCCCTTGAAATCCTACAACTTTCGTATAAAATATTCTTTTGTAATAAGCTTAGGAAAAAGAATTGATGAAGTTGTCATTAATTTATGTACTTACTGTCCTTCTTTGAAGTACTCCTTCAATGTATTGCTGAACCTTTTACTATATTTTACAAACTCTCTTTTGCGTTGATCTAATGCTTGTTTACCAGCTGAGCCAGGTATAAATCCAGTGACTTCATTCACAGCATCTAAAAGTTTCTTGATCGCGCTTGCAATTTCTCTGAAAAAGAAAATATAGCCAATACAAAATATCCTACGAATTTAGTTTGTGTATACATATGCAAATGTTATACGAACTTGATTGTCTCAAGAAAGGTTTTTCTATCTGTGATTTCATCAGGAATTCTGCTAAGTATTCTTTTCAAGGAAGTAGATTTACGATTCAGTTCTTGAAATGCATCTTCTGAACGCGCTGAACGGTATTCCACAACTTATGAGCAAAAATAAAATAAATCAATTTATTTCTCAATAATGAAAAAAAATCATACATATAAAACTCGCAATAGCAGATTATAATAATAAATAACATTTTCTACATATTTATCTTACCGTCATAGTCAGAAGCAGCACCTTGCAATCGTAAAACACTCTCATTCATATCAAGATTGAGTTCTGCTCTGCGTATTATACCCATAATTAAATCGTGTGTAATCCCAGGATGGGAGCTCTCTGCTTTAGAGAGAGCTGTGCGCAGAGTTTGCGCTGCCATGACATTTTGTCTTTCGAGCTGTAAAAAATTTGCACTATTACAATCAGTTTTAACAAGAAATCCTTAACCACATCCATCAAGAAATTCTTGTTTACTAAAAATGCAAAGTATAATAAAAAGTATAAGTAATTTAAGTATCAAATTAGTTATATTAGACTAAAAATAAACAAATATTAAATAAAAATAATTTAATTTATAAAATGAAAAATTAATATATGTATAAAATTGTTAATATATAAATCATAAAATAAAATAATAAAATAAATATAAAAAGGAAATAATTAATATATAAAATATATAAAAATATATAAAATTAATACATTAAATCGCCAAAAACACTCAACTTCTTTCATATCCATTTGTTCCTCTACATTGTTTGGAAAGTATGCATCACCGATATATGTATATGAATCATTGAGTGCAAAAATGATCGTGATTGAACGATAACATATTTATAAACAATACGAGATAATATACCTTGGTTAATATTGGTCTTAATATTACGGGAAGAACCAGTGATGTAACTGGGATCTCATCGCCCATTGTCATCCTTCACAGTGTGTGTTGTCGTTCGAAACGTCAAAAATACAGTGAGTCGAGAGGAAAGACGAAGTCGAGGCTGTTTCAGGACGAACGAACGACGATATTGTTTACACGCGACTGTCTTCCTTACACCAGCCGAAGACTCTCTATGACAGCTGTCACAATTCACAATAGGAGCTAGTTACGCGGAAATGAGGTTATTCAGCGCTACCAACATTAGCCGATAACGAGTCTAAAATAGAATGAATGGATTAGAGTCCCTAGAAATAAAAATACATATATATAAAAATATAAATATATTACATAAATATAAATTAAAAGTATAAATATAAATATCATGTAAATTAAATCAAAATATAAATAATAAAATAAAATAAATAAAATAGATAATAAAAATAAAATAAAATAAATAACAATAAAATATAAATAATATATAATATAAATATTATTTTTCTAGGGACGTCTTTTTGACGTTATTTGACGTCAAAGTGACGTCTTTTGACGTTTAATAACGTTTTTGATTAATGACATCTTTTGACGTTTATAATGACGTCTTTTTGACGTTAGATTGCTATTATTTGGGCTATTATTATATTCGCAAACCCGAAAAATTTTGATCTTGAAACTTAATTATACACGTGTCCCAAGTAAAACAGATAAAAATCAAAATAATCATTTTGACGTCATATATTGATCAAATTTGGTCAATATATATATATGACATCAAATTGACATTATTTTAACTTTTCTGTTCTACTTGGGGTAAGAGGATATACCTATATATACACAGATGACGAATTTAAGTTTTCAGTTATTGCCCAGAGTTCTAAATTTTTCGATATATCAAAAAGCATATTGGAGATAAAATAAAATTTCAGGTAAAAGTTTGAAAAATAATATATTAATACTTTTTTTTTATTTTAGAAAAAAACATTATTTTTATAAAATTTTATGAATGGGATTAAATAATTTTTGTATTACACGTGCAGGCAATGTGGCACTTTCGGTGCATGTTTTCTGTGCCGAAAGCGGCCGATTTCCCCCGCCGCCATCTAGCGGCGACACGGTGAGTGAATAAGTCGGTTTCAAAGCCATTATCTACGGCTGAGCCGCGTTAAAAGTCATTGTATATGGCTCAAGCCGTAGGAAATGTATTGAAACCGGCTATTCCCCCACCGTACCGCGGCAAGATGGCGGCGTGCGATCGGCCGCCTCGCGCACAGAAAACGCGCCGAAACAGCTACTTTGCCTGCACTTGCAATACAAAATAGTATGTGTATCAAGTGCGGATTGACAATTGTTCACTCGTGTGGGGTGGTCGCACTCGCCTTCGGCTCGTGCGTCCATCCCCCGCACTCGTGAATTGTCAACTTTCCGCACTTGATACACAATATACTATTATCACGAAACTTTTGTGTAAAACTTTTTAATATCGAATATGTTTTTCGAGATATATCGAGGAAAGCAAAAATCCAGTCTATCGCCGGTATTATTCATATATAGTCAGGTCTTATATTTAAGATCGTCTTAAGGGGATGCCGGATGATGTTTTTACCGATCGAATGCGAGAATATTTAGTTTTTTTTTATATAACTTTTTATTGACTATACTGATCAATAAATCCTTTTCCACGATTAAAGTACTTATAAAAACAGATCGCGCTAGCTATGTTTGCATATATAAATCATATAAAAATCAAAAATTACAGTTTTGTTATCGGCTGCTTTGTGTCAGTTCGTAATAATACTTATTTAATAAAAAAAGTTCTGCGATTTGTCTGTGCATGAAATATAGTATGCGCGGTAAGGATAATATGAAGAATTATTAGTAAACGATTAAAAGTGAGATTGCAAGTCTAATAAAAAAGTTATATATTAAAAACATTTTTACGCGTATGTGTTGTATACGTGCATATGTTTAGATATGTGTGGTGCTAACCTATCATGTGTATATGTGTATACGTGCATATGTTTAGATATGTGTGGTGCTAACCCGTCGGAGTTCGGCCAACGCTCCGGCAACCCCTTAAGCGGGGTCTACAATGGCAGCATAGGAGTACAGAGTACAAGAGTAAGCAATACGAACTGGGATTTGTTCATGTCGTTATTCCCCGACGAAATGAGCAAATCCCATTTTGTACTGCTTATAAAAAGTATAGTTTCACTATTTATCCTTTTTATATGTGTGTAAAAAGTTTCATCTTATTAGAATTTTTTGGTTCGCAAGTACGTTTATTTTATTTATTTAAATATGGAAAATGTACAAGATCTATATTTTACCGATATATAACTTAAAAGAATGAGGAATCTATAATTTCAAATATGTTATTTCTGCATTATTGGTGAAATCTGTAATATCTAATAAATATGTTTTCTCGCACAAGACTATATATATATATATATATATATATATATAGGTTGTTCAAAAAGTTATTGCGTTTTTTTATTTGATTTTCAGGTGCGTTTATTTAATATACGTAATGAACATTAATCAATAATATATTGGCCGTTTTGTTCAATGACCTTTTGCCATCTCTCGGGCAATTTCATAATACCGCGTTCATAAAACTTCCTATCTTTCTCTGCGAGAAACTTGTCAAGATGCTGTTTGATGAGATCTTCAGAAGCAAACGTTTTACCATTCAAGCAGTTTTGCAAGGAGCGAAATAAATGGAAGTCTGATGGCGCAAGGTCTGGGCTATATGGTGGATGTGGCAACACATCCCAACCAAGCTGCAACAATTTTTGCCGAGTGACCAAACTTGTGTGTGGTTTCGCATTGTCGTGGTGAAACACCACACCCTTACGATTGATCAGCTCGGGACGTTTTTGTGCGATGGCATCACTTAATTTCTGTAGCTGCTCACAGTAGACATCGAAATTAATCGTTTTATTCTTTGGAAGCAGCTCATAGAAGACTGGTCCCTTCCCATCCCACCAGATTGACAGCATCATCTTCTTTTGGTGGATGTCCGCCTTTGCTTGCCTTTCCGGTGCTTCATCTCGCCTACTCCAACTCCTTTTTCGGCTCACATTGTTGTAGACAATCCATTTTTCGTCGCCCGTGATCATACGCTTCAAGAACGGATCGTTTTCTTCGCGTTTGGTGAGTTAATCGCAGACGTTCATACGCTTTGTCAGATGAATTTCTTTCAACTCATGCGGTACTCAAACATCGAGCTTCTTCACGAAAGCGATTTCAAATGCCCATGAACACTTCCAATGGACACTTTTAGAGCGGTAGCAAGCTCCCGAACCGTTGAATGCTTATTTGCTTGCACCAATGCTTTGATTTTATCGTCGTCAATCTCGGAAGGCCTACCGGAGCAATGAGCGTCTTTAACTGAAAAATTACCACCACGGAATCGGGCGAACCAGTTCTGGCACTGACGTTTTTCGATGACATTTCTGCCGTAAACTTGACGCAACTCTTCCCTTGCTTCAGTTGCTTTCTTCCCTTTTTTGAAGTAATGAAGCAAAATATGGCGAATATGCTCTTCAAAATTCTCCATGTTTAAACCACAATTGCAAGCACAAAACTCGACTAAATTGCGTCAACTTTTTTTTGGTTTTTAGGTTAAGTGTCAACAACAAAATGCGCGTAAATTTGACATTCATGGCACGCTCAGATACAAATAAATGTGGACAGCGCTATCTATTGGAAAAAAACGCAATGACTTTTTGAACAATTATATATACTCTTGTATATATTGTGTTGCTATAAATTTTCTCTCGATCAGTAGTTATAATTAATATATATTACAAATTTAAAAAAGTCTTATTTTTATGCAAGTATACAGCCGGATTATATATTATATTTTATTAATATATGTATATATATAGTTATTATATATTTCAATCCGTTCTCATTCATCGTTCTATATATTTTATATGTATATCTGCGTTTTTCGCACGATTTTTCTTGAATATAATTGGCAATGAAATTTATGTTGCAAATTGTTGCTAATAGAGAAAAAAATGATTATGCAATTTATGCATGTGCGTGTACTACAAATAACATAAATACATGGATGTATATACTTTTTATATAAAGACTGAAATTTATTTTCTCATCGTTGGTAATACCAACTGACGAGGTACTGTTACCTCGTTGGTGGTAATACTGAAACCCAAGTTTCATATTATGTTTTCACCACGCGAGGTTTGCAATATCAGTTCGGTTCGAAGTTTGAGTTTATAAAGACTCTACTCGAAATTTTTTGCCTATTATTTATTTTGCATGTCGATCCTTAATTAAAATAAATTAGGATGTAAAAACAAATTAATTAGTACCTAAGAACAATAAATCAGTTTCAATGAAAAATTATTTTTTTCTTAAAACTGACGTGTATTTGGCTCTTACTTGACCTGTTTTTAAATACATATACAGGGTGTCCCATTAAAAAAAAATATGCTCAAATATATCAGAAACATCGCGTTTCAAAAGTTACAAATAAAAGTTGTTCGATTTTGAAGGAGAAAAAATTGCTGCGTTACTGATTTTTTCCTAAAGGGTGATTTTCAAAGTCATTTGAAGATTATTTTTGTTTTTTATAGAATGTTCTATAGAATGCATTAATTTGCAACTATAGTAGCTATACATAATACATATTTTTTTTACAAACAATTATGCATTTTTTACACTAATTAATACCTCCTTATTTTTTGTGCATAAAAGTATTGAGATACGATCGAGGAAAATGAAATATTTTATAAGATATTTATTCATATAGTTTATATAAAATTATATGTCAAACTAAAGTATAAAATATTTCGTAACGTATAAAATATTCGTAAACTATATTTACTTTTTGGCTATCGTACCCTCATTTTTATAGTGAATATTATGAGGAATCAATATTTATATAAAAAATTAAGGTGATTCTATTTAGAAAAACAAATAACCTTGAAAATCACCCTTTAGGAAAAGCTCAACAGCGTCAATTTCTTTCCCAAAATCAAGTTACTTTTATTCGAAACATTTTTTTCTCTGCAACGTGACGTTTTTGATATATTTGAGTATATTTTTTTAAATGGGACATTCTGTATAAAAAATATAATCATAAAAAAATGTAATTATTATATATGGTAATCAATGTAAGTAATACAATTGCTTTTTATATGAGAAAAGAAATTTTATTGATAACGTATATAGGGACATCGAAATACGTATATAAACAGCGTGTGTATAAAAGTATAAAAAATAAATATTAGCAGCGCGCGCGCGCCGTCATTTTGCGAGTCTCATGGATATGAGTCGGTCGCGATGCGTCTTTGACAATACGGGAATGTGTTGCAAGCACAGGCGAGAGTAAAAATTACATATAATAATAATAATGATATTTGAATTGTGTAACAGTAATACGGGAAAATAGGCAAATTGTTCACTTTAAAAGGACAACACACTACTGAGAACGAGATCGCATTCATAATCTATTTAATTGATAATTTCTAGCTATCTGTATTTGTTACGGGTGAATCACAGTGTTTGCAAATATATTTTTACAGTTTTATTTGATATTATTAAAAAAATTAAAACTGGAAAAATATAAAAACCATTTTTACGGATTTTTCATAATCAGATACAGATATATAAATCGAAATATTTTCAAATAAAAAAAATGAATATTTTTTTTATTTAGAATTTGTACAATATATATCTATAGTATATCATTTTCATAATAATTGGGTGATTTATAGTAATTGTAATATAATCGTAATTATACTACTATAATTGACATTGTATTAAAGTGTTACAAGTTAAAGTTAAATTTCACAATTTGCTAAAAGTATTTTAATACTTATGCCTTTTTTCACATAAGTACAAGTTTTATACTTGCTAATTACTTTGCATTTCACGTACTTTACATTTGAAAAACTAAATTGAAAGATTATTGCAAATGTTGCACATTTTAGAATTTTTCTTTGTCTAATTCTAATAGTTAGTTAATCGTTTCATATTTTCTTTCTCAATATAATATAAACAGTTTAGCCTTCAGATTATACACACACACGCACACGCACACGCACACGCGCACGCACACACACACACCATATATACAGGGTGTCCGGTGTAACTAACGGACCAATGATTAAGAGCGGATTCTTTGGCCAATTTGGAGACGATTTTTCCTTAGCAAAAATGTTGAGAAGTCAATAATTTTCGAGTTATAAGCGATTGAAAAAAATGGGTTTTTTGAAAACTAAACGTTTTGGAGTTAAAAGTCTAACATAATTACATTCTTCAGTTAATTTCAGGTAGAGTTTATAATGAAATTTTAATTTGAGGCTTAGTTATAAAGATACATAATGACAAATATTGGAAAGTTGTAAAAAATGATGACCTTTTTCGACATTTTCGCTGAGGAAAAATCGTTCCCAAATTGACCAAAGAATCCATTTGTAATCGTTGGTCTGTTAGTTACCGGACACCTTGTATATATATATTTTGTAGTTTTATATAAATATATAAATTAACTTTAGATAGATTTTGGGAAAAAATTCTCATCTTTCAATTTTTTATCCTTAGCGCATAAATAAACTTTCATTTACAACGATTTACACGGCTTTTTTTTGTTGTATACGATAAGATTATTTATCTCAATATTAATATATAGCTTTAATATCGATATTTTCAAGCGCGCGCGCGCACACACACACGCACACAACACAAACATACACATACACACACGATTAAGTTAAATAAAATATAAATCCTCTAGTCCGAAGAGAGAAAATTACATGGCACATTCGATATTGGATTTCGTCATAATGGAATTTTTTTAGAACGAACACTCATACTGATATTTATCGACTTTTTTGCGTGTTTTCGGAATCCAGTTGCGTCAGAAGCCATATTCTGGCCATGAAAGGTCGCACCGAGACCCTGCTCATGATTACTCGCGAGCGTGAACGTTAATTAGCGCGTCGTAATTGATTGCTCGCATTTTGCTGTACACGCGATGGCGCCTATACCCTTATCGCAAACATTGTCGCAGTTGTCCCTCGCGGCAATAAATACACACATCCTCGCGCTATTTATCTTAAATTATTTTTGCCGCTTTATTTGCGAGGAGACGCTTCTCTCATGGCAGTCGATTTATATATATAATCTCCACTAATCGTTTTTAATTGATGGAGTCAGTAGGCGATTGGGGCCAATCGCCATGCGACAATATCACGTATAAGTCTACAAGTTCTCACAATTCACTTATAATAACACGTCTTGTTCAATTTGCTAACGATAGTCGATAAATCAATGACAATATATATTGTCGATTGTCGGGGATTTTTCAAAATCGTTGTATACGACACATGGAGATTTATAAATCTCTAGAAATCAATATTAATATGGTAAAAAAGAAACCTTGCAGTATACTAAATTTAAATTTTATATCTGAACCTTGATTATTCTACTTCGAATGGCAGTGATTGATTTGAATATAATTTATTTTATTTATTTATAATATATATAAATAAGTGTTCTTAAATATTCGTACATCCTGCCATTAATCTTGCTTTCTAAAATACGTCGTACATGTGAAAAGTTCAACATTTCCACGCAACGATTTTTGGTCGCATTTTCGAATCGACTTGTCACTGTTTTTTATAGGCCGATTAAAAATTATTACTTTACAATTTAACAATATTTTTTAAATGTGTATTATTCTTTAATTCAAAGAACTCACACGAAAATGTATTTTCCATTAAAAACTATTCTATTTTTTATCAATTTTTTATAATTTATCTTGGACAAGATTCTTCGACTTTGATCATACATCGAGTGTATCATCTAATCTTCAATAGTCTTCAATATATCACGTTACGATAAATAATTCTTCTTTGCAAGCATTGATTCAGAACATTATCCATTAATGTTAGTTATGTCATTCTTCTTTTTGCTGATTCCAAGAAAATAGTTTTCACTATGATAAAGCTATAGAATCTCCTCGTGTAATTAATGAAAAATTAATTTCCCGATGTATATAATATATCGTTCCATCTAAAACTATCAAAGCTTTCTTCGATGAATTTAATCTTTTTCATCGTCGTCATTGCGATCTTTCCTAAGATCGACACGTATAGAATGACAATTTTTCTTTCTCGCGATTCGGCAAACTTGGCACTTTTCAGAGAAACGTGGAAAAGGATTCGTAAAATCTGTAATGGTAACGCTTCGGTGTTACCATTTCTGCGTTATTTTTAATAACACCTTTTAGTTATGTCACACAGCGAAGACACACATAATAGTCACTTTTTCGTTATACCATTGTAACGATAGCGTCCAAAATGGCTTCCTTTTCGAACGATCACTTTCGAACGTCTGTTAACTGTCCGGGAACTTGAACAAATAGATCCGCGAGACTGTTTCTTCGCGATCGATCGGTCCGATCGTTGGATTAGATTGAGCCCGATGATCCTCGCCAAGAGGATGATCCGTTCAAGATCTTCTACGCAGGCGCCTGCATCATTGGTCTGTGAATCGGCACCGAGATCACGTAGATGTCCAGCTTCTCGCCGGTCGTCTTGTCGACGATTTCGCCGTAGTTGACGGAATCGTAAGAGGGCGGCGCGAACAGATGATAGGGTGGCGGCGGGGTTTCCGTAACTCCGGGGGTATTTATCGTTTCGGCACGTTGGGCGTAAGGTACCGCTAGGGGGCGCCCGCCTCGACGACAGCACCACTCGGAACAGCTGACGATTAGGAAGAACGCCACCAGCCCGCCGAATGAGCCGATGTACCAAACTATCGACCATGGATCCAGTGGACTCTGCAGGTCGCCGTTGACTACAACAAAACGGGGACCTGTGAGCGGGTAGCTCTCGTTAATGATCGGAAATGTGTTAATTATTTCAAGCTATATACAAGCTTATGCAAGGAGATTAATAAAAAAGCGTAACAACAGAATAGAGGAGAGTGCTTAACAAAAATAGCAGTGCCAGTCATTTGGTGCTAAAAAAGGAGATTACCTGAAAAGTTTTTCGGAAGTTTTGATATTTAATATTTTGAGATGCTCTTTTCGAATTTTCACTTTGCCGCACCTCGTATCTTTGCTGCTTGTAAACTTTGTGACGCTTGTACGCCGAAACTATTTGTTTTACAAAAAAATTATAAAGACATAAATTATAGAAAATTTCCTTTAGTTTGATTTCTTACATAACTATTCATATTGTAAAATCAGCCGGAAAAGAGATGTCGAAAAATCGCTTTTGAGTGCCATTTTTCAAATATGGCGGTGCAAGCGGCAAAGATACAAGGTGGCAAAGTGAAAATTCGAAAAGGGCACCTCAAAATCTATCAAAATGTTAAATATCAAAACTCCCGGAGAACTTTCCGGGTAAAACTACTAAATGACTGTACTAATACAATCGGAAACAAAAGCTAGCAACAAGCTATTGTTCACACATGCTGTGGATTTTATAGGAAGTTGTTATACTATAGTTTTATTTCCTAGTCCTCACAATGTGCTACCGAATGATAACATTGGTCAACCACTTTTGTTTAGTTGCCAAAGATGTTTTAGTTGCCAAAGATGATATTTAGGATACTAGACGACGCGCGCTTCGCGCGCGCCATTATCCGTTTTTTTGTAATGTATGTGTGTGAGATTTAACTTTTTAATAATTGTAATTTTATTTAATTTTATTTTGACAACTGTCAAACTGTTAACCCTCTCAACAGCTGCTCTATGTTTTGAATATAACACATAACAACCGTGAATTGAGCCAGCCAATCAGCATCGCGGAAAAACGACGACAATGTCAATAACATGTCTTTTTTAGAAAGGAGATTTGGGAATGTTGAATCTAAAAATAACAGTTTTGCTAAATTGGCTCTAGTTTTTTGAGATAATTGATGAAATTATGATTTTACTCCAATACGACTTGTAGCTGCTGATATGTGCAACAGGGTCTGTCTTTTTATTCTTTAACATTGTTTTCACCTCCAACGTCATCCTGATGATCCACATAAAAGAAAATCGCATACAAACAGCATTTTCCTATGCAGCACTAATTGTGATTATCTGAATCAGCTTACTTCGTTTTTATGTTATTTTACTGAATACAATATGCCATTAAATATTATATATTTTTGTACGATTTGAGAATGAGCTACGCCCATAAATATATTATGTAATATATAATATATCTATGGCTACGCCTGATCATTACATTTTTTTGTTTTTCATGAAACACTCATTATCTCAAAAATTAGAGCCAATCTAGGAAAACCAATGTCAATATTCGGAATCAGTGACACAAAGTTACCCTAAAATCGAACATATATAATTAATGTAATATAATTGACAGCAAAATTAGTGTTGGTTAATGTAACCTGAGAAAAAGTCAAAGTTTTTCAATAAATTATTATTATTCCCTTTTAAACAGTGTAGTGCATGTTAATGTAATTTTGCAACATGGTTCCTTAAAATTTCAATTATACATATATGTAAAAAATTTGAATTTAGTACAATTTTTTCGATATTTTTAACGTAGTACAATCTGCATAGTAATGAATCTTCGTGATGATTATGTATAAAACTATAGTGAAAATTTAAATTGAAATAATTTTTGAATGAATTAGTGAATTAAATTGATAGTAGCTTTAAATATAAAAATGGAAACAGTTTACATAATTTCTATAAATTTTATATCATTTTTGGATATTTTCCTTATATATGTATATTCTTAAAAAGTTCAGAAAATTCTTACCCATGTGAATCAGTTCCGTTAGAATCAAAGAATTGTCTTATAGAGTCAAAGATTATGAGGAACCATAGCCATTTATGTTATGTCGGAAATTTTTCAGCAAAATTATGCTATATATGGCGAATATTTAGGAGACTCGTAGATTTGAACAAAAAATATCTTAAAAAATATTAAATATATAAACCGACGCGTTTTCATTTATTATTCACAATGATTTATTCTTTTGGATGTTTGTGTTAAAATGGAAACCCGAGACAAGCGTCGAATTTAAAAATACATCGCTTGTTTATTGCTAAAGTACCGACAAAAAAATATTCAGAAATATTACTTATTTAAACATATAAATGCCAAAATTTGCATATTATATTTGCCAATATTTCATTTGTTTGTGATCTTACGCAGCCGTATTTTTACACTTTAGGTGCGTGAAAAAAATCGGTAAATTATACGAAAAAATGAAAACAATAAATAATTTCGTACAAGCAATATGTTCGTAATTTTGACACGGTTACAGAATAAATATTAAGCGAAAAGTTTTCACAATCACACCTCTTTTTCCGATCAATGATATTCTGCGCGTGGAAACGACATTCTCAATTGCTGTTAATGCATGACGTACACCAGGCGAAACTCGGAAAGACGATGTAAATGAAGATGAAACGACCACTAATTTGCATAAATCCTTGGCACGAAGTAGCACGGATTATTCTCTGCAATCGTGATTTTAGCGGAACGTTTATACTTGCGACTTCAGATCTCGTTTGTCTACGAATTTATTAGGCGATAAACTCGAGTCTTTATAGTGTAATGATTTCAATGCAACATGTCGTAAATTCTTTACAAATATATATTATCCCTTTATTTTTAATATTATGTGCGAGAGATATAATTTTTTTATTATAATAATCAATTGATAATTATTTAATTTTGGCATGTAAATTACATAAAATTTGTTACTATTTTTAACAAAAATTTATTGTGTTATCTATTTTAGTTTCTATATTTAAAATATTCTAGATTTATTAATATTTAATATATAGTTTCGATTGGTGAAATTATTATATATGTATATATACAGGATATCCCATTTTAATTAATGTAGCCGAATATTATTGTAACTGTGTAATGAGAAAATATTTTATATAAAAGTGAAAAGATTTTGATAGGGCAAAATATTGATAAACTTAAACTTTAAATAGGATTATTTTAAAATATTTTAATTTGAAGATTAATTCAATTTTTTAAAAATAAAGAACTATTCTAATTTATTTTTATATAAATTGATTTTCGTAATATTTAGTATAAAAAATCATAAAGATAACAGAACCAAAAAGTGAATAATTTACAAGATATTTTTATACTTTAGTAGGACATAATTTTAAATAAATTATAAAATATCTCATAAAATATTTATTTTCAATGATTTTACCTTAATATTTTTTGCACAAAATAACAAAAGAAATTAATTGATGCAAAAAAACAATTATTTTTAAGAAAAAGTATATAATTTGTAACAAGTAGCTACATTCTTTTGGCTATATATTTAAATTGTTTACAAAGAATTACGTTAACACCGAATCATAAAAATGGAAATGTCGCGTTTCACATTCGAATTTGACAATAATAGAGAAAAATATTAGAAAAAGAAAAATGAAAATACGATATAGAACCGTAGTACGACGGTATATAATTATTATTATGTAAATATTTAGCGAAATGTTGAAAATTCCATAAAGAGTTTCGTTTTTAGCGTTTTGCTGACTTCTTGAAAGCTTGATGTTAGCGCAAATATAAAAAAATTGTACACAAGCATGAGTGCGAAAAGAGGCATGTATCAGCGAAAAACACTGAAAAAAATATCGCTGAGTGATGATACAAACGTGTTTGTTGATTGCAGCAGGAAGTGCGATGATTTGCGATAGTGAGAATGTTGTGATACTCTGTTTATTACATGAAGTCACCCTCTCGTTTACATACACGCACACGCACACGCACACACGCACACACACACACACGCACGCACGCACGCACGCACGCACACACACACACACACACACACACACACACACACGCGCGCGCGCGCGCGCGCGCGCATTCTCACACTCACACACTCACCCACTCACTCTCACACACACACACTCTCACACTTACACACACTCTCACACTTACACACACACACACACACACACACGCACGCACGCACGCACGCACGCACACACATTCTCACACACTCACCCACCCACTCTCACACTTACACACACACTTACACCACACACACACATACATACACACACACACGCACGCACGCACCACACACACACACACACACACACACACGAATAAAAATGATTCATGTTTCTTACCGATCTCTTCCGTGTCTCTCTCCTTTTCCTCTCTCGCGTTCTCCTCTTTCCTTCCGAATTCGATCACGTAGACCGTCTCCTCATTATCATCGTCGGATTTCGAGTCGCCCGAGTGACGATTCTCGTTTACGCTGTGAACGGCTTTATTGCTCTCCATTCGTCTGTCAGCACCGATGCTGTAACTTGACACCGCGTGAGCTGCGACACAAATTGCAATCAATTAATTAATTGCACATTTAACTTTATGCATGAATGTTTAGATTAGTCTCTCTGTATGTATGTGAAGTGTCTATGCACTTTATGCTTATATATTGTACTATTAAAAGGATTCATATACATTTGGGAATATATAATGCAATAACTTGATTATTTTTTTTATATTAATACATATATAATATATTTATACTATATATTTTATATATTATATTAATAGTAATTTGATTATATATTGCTTGATTATTTTTTTTATATTTAAAATTGTTATGTTTTTAATATTTAATATATATATTTCTAAATATTTTTTCTCGAACATAATCTCATTAAAATATGATTATTACAATTCGATATCGAAAAGATTTTCTTTCCTTCACATTACGTATATATTAATTACTTATTATACGTATATAATATGTTATATTTTTATACCTCCAAGCAAATATCTCTGAAATTAAGCAAAATACGAAAAAAGATTTAAATAGTAGTTGTATTTTGAGGAAGAAAGAAGTTGGCGCTACTAATTTTTTTCTAGAGAATAATTTTCAAGGTCATTTGAAGGTTAGGTCACACACATTTATGTTTTTTTTAAATGAAATTATCTTAATTATTTTAAATGTAAATCGATCCTTCGCAATATTTGCATAACAAGTTATTAGGGTAGGATGACAAAAAATGAATAGTTTACGACGACCTTTGCGAGCTATATTTTATATTTCAATATAACATATAATTTTACATAAATTATAATATATATCTCGTAAAATATTCATTTTTCGATGATCTGACCTCAATACTTTTATGTACAGAATGGTATAAAGTGTAAAGAAAACACATAGTTGTTGTAAGAAAAAGTATGTAGCTGCTAATTGTAAATTACATATTTCTACAAACAACTATGTGTTTTTTCACACTAATTGTAAGTGATTTCTCTCATTATTTTAAAGTATTGAGGTAACATCATCGGAAAATGAATATTTTATGAGATATTTCATAGTTCATGTAATATTAAGATATAAAATATCTCGCAATTTATTCACTTTTTGACTATCTTACTTCTACAACTTTTTGTAAATATTGCGATGAATCGAATAATATAAAAAAATTAAAGTAATTCGATTTAAAAAAACAAATGACCTTGAAAATTGCTATGTAAGAAAAAGTCAATAGCGCCACTTTCTTTCCATCTTGAAAAATTTTACTTTTATTTAAACATTTTTTCTGCTTAATTTCAGACATTTGGCTTGGGGAAATTAAAATAAAACATTCTGCACATTGATGCATATATATATATATATCTATATATATGCATCAATGTGCAGAATGTTTTATTTTAATTTCCCCAAGCCAAATGTCTGAAATTAAGCAGAAAAAATGTTTAAATAAAAGTAAAATTTTTTAAGATGGAAAGAAAGTGACGCTATTGACTTTTATATATATATATATATATATATATATATATATATATATATATCACTTTTTTCTTTTCCTTAGGAAATTTTTCGAATATTATGCAATTTATTTATGCCGTTCAATCGCATTCCCAAACAAGACGCAAGTATATATACGCGTGTATGATTATGTCGTGCGAAATCTCAGGGCTAAAGATGTTGCAACGCCGAACAAACAACTCCGCCTGTCACTCGTACTAACCTGCATCGCAGTGTTAGAAACTTCATGTGCTATTTATTAGGCCAAGTCGATCAGCCTCGCCGTCAGTTTTGCTCCGATTTCTTGATACGCTGCGCGTATCTTTGAGCATAAATAAGATAATAAAAAAATTAGCTTGAAACAGACATTCGTAATTATTAACAGATCAACCGTGTCGAGAGCGATAAGTTATTACCCAAGTGTTCTGAAAAACTTGTCTTTGAATTGTGCAAACGAAGTTTTAGTATTAACGAAGAAAAAAATAATACATAGTTAATAAAATATTAACTGAATACTAATGTTACACAATAATAATATTAATAATAATAACTTTGAAATTAATAATAATAATAATAATTATATCATTATTAATATATTAAATAATTATTAATATTTTATTAATTATAATTATTAACATATTTATAAACAAAAATTTCTCATGATTATTTATTTAGAATTGATTGAATATATACGATATGTAAGAAAAAACTTAATTGATAAAGTAAAGATTTTCGATTTCCAAGCAATTTCCACAAATGCTTTTTTAGTAACAATAAGAACGTGTAGCATGTTTGAAAGCTATTTTTACCTATTGCGGTATTGATAACTTCGCTCTCAAAGTTAAATTTATTCTTAGGGAATCATGTTGGTGTTAAGTAGCGCGAAGTAGTTTCAATTATGAACAGCCTGGAAGAGAAGTTTCACGAGTTCATAAAAGTCAAAGATCGCGTTACGGTCCTTAAACTTTTATCTATGCGTAACAGCATCCGTTTTTATACGAAATAAAAAGAGTATACATATAAGAAAATAATTCAATAATAAATAGTCGAGAAAAATATAATCGAGAATATATGAGAAAATAATCGATGAATCGATTATAATAATTACAAAAGTTGGATATATTTTACGGTTCAGAAACAAAAAATATTAACTTATCGTAATCCTATAATTAAAAAAATATATTTATTTTATCGAATTATATACATATATATATATATATATATATAGATGAAATTTCTCATAATTTTTAATTAATCGTGTCTAATCAAAGTCATATTATAAATGATCTCAGCCCCATTATTTCGATCAAGAAATAAATCATTCGGATGTTTAAGTATGTATTACCTTTTATTCATGTTAACATTTCTTAAATAACACAAATATATATGTGAAGACATAACAAAAAATTTATTAACGTAAACCTAGCCTAATCTAATCTAACCTAATAAAGCCTAAATGACTAACTTCATAACCTAAATATGTACATAAAATTTAAAATGCAACCATTTGCATCCCGCGCGACTAATTAAGGATTAATGCAAAATACATATTCTTTTTCTTCTATTGAATTATACGTATGATAAATATCTTGCTGTTCTATTTTCAGCCCATTATGTTAGACATTGCAAAGTGACGAAGCGTAAAAATCGATCGAGAAGCACGAAGAAGCTTTCCTTTTTAAAAGTAACACCGATATTGCTATTACATTTTCTTATAAAGCAAGATATGTGTAGCCGATTGTCTTTCAATTCTCACCAGAAACTCGCGTCTCCACCCTGACACGATTACCTACTACTTACCGTTGTCTGACCAGATTTGGCTTTATGGTCAGAGTTACTTACATGTATAGGTAAGAACACCTTACGATTCGTGCTTTTGCGTTAAATGCAAATCCGGTCTAATACACGTTAAATGCGGTATAATTTGCTGATACACTATAATTTACTAATATATGTTATGAATATATTATAATATATTGCTATATAGCACACACAAGTTGGAATATCTTTATCTGAGCCTTTTTGATATTGAACTTATACGTATAAAACGTTCGTAATTTTTACTGTTATTTAATTTATTTAATTTTTATTATTTAATATTGAAAAATTGCAATTACAATCAATATGTTTTCTTTTTTCTTATAATATAATAAATGTTATATTGTACTGAAAGGAACACGGAGAAATAAAAAATTGTATTACAATATTGGAGTATATATTATGTTAACGCATTAAATGATAAATAATTTTATAAAAGAGCTATATAAACGCGCTTCTCGATCAATTTTATTTTTACGTATAAATTAGTAAATAATTTTGAAATCACGGGAAATGCTCAATTTATGTGTTGCCGTCAGGATAATGATTCTGTGTAAACACGACCGTTTTTCGTTTGTTGATCCATCGTATCATTGAAGGTTGTGTGTAATTAAAGACAAGGCAGAGAGAAAGAGAGAAAGAAAGCAAGAGAGGAAAGAGGAATTTGAGAGAAGAGGAATGAAGAGAAATAGAAAGAGACACATACACTGTATACGAGAGATGTTCATTATATTTCTTGCCAGTTACGACCTCATCGTCAGAATTATAGCGTTCTACATTTTACGAATCACGTACGCCTTTTGTTAAACAAAAAACGATTATGAAAGGAGGGAATTTTTCAACGGTAAGGATAGATAATTTAAGTCTCAGTAAATGAAAACTTTTTTTAGTGAGTTTTATATAACGACATGTGCGGTTGACATACATAAGTACAAATTTGTCATGTAATAAAATGAGATGCGAGAGGAGACGATTCTGAACTTCATCATCATTGCTTTGTTCAGAATTTTTTACATTGATATATGATACACAACGATGATAATATCTCGCTATATACGTCACAGACGTGTTCAGATTTACTAGGTGTATGCATAAGTCTTTTCCGGTTTAATTAAGAGATGGCCCCAGCGAAAAGTACGCAGCGTATTAATTTAACACATACGTCATTTTGTTCGTCTGACATAAAACTACAAACACACATAAGTTGAGTCCGCCAAAAACTAGCGTTTTTGTTTTATCGTTCAGTGATCATGTCGCGTTTTGTGCCTGAAAACGAGCATTTGCGGCACGCATTGCTTTTCTTTATTTAATCAAAAGAAAAAGGCTTTGTAAAGTTATCGTTTGTTGGTAGAAACATATGGTGAACACGCTTCATCGATTAGAACATGTAAGACATGGTTTTGACAATTTAAAAGTGGTGATTTCAATGTGAAAGACAGTGAGCGCTCTGGTAGACCACAAAAATGCGAAAACGAGCAATTGCGGGAGTTATTGGATGATGACTCAACTCAAACTCAACGGCAATTAGCAGAAGCATTACATGTATCACAAGAAACAATCAGCAGACGTTTAGGAGCAATGGGAAAGATCGAAAAACGACCGGAATGGACCAGAAGACATGGCAAAGTGATTTTGTTACACGACAATGCGCCGTCTTACACAGCAAAACCAGTGAAAGACACCTTGAAATCGCTTGGATGGGACATCTTTCCGCACCCGCCGTACTCCCCAGACCTGGTGCCATCTGACTATCACCTTTTCACATCAATGGGGCACGCGCTCGCAGAGCAGCACTTCAGCAATTTCGAGGAAGTTAAAAAATGGCTCGACAAATGGTTTGCCGCAAAAGACAAGCAGTTTTTCTGGCATGGTATTCATAAATTACCTGAAAGATGGGCGAAATATGTAGAAGCCGATGGCCAATATTTTGAAGAAAAAAAAATTAATTTCCCTTGAAAATTACGTGTTTTTTTTTTACCAAAAAACCGGAAAAGACTTATGCATACACCTGGTATTATTAGACTTTGAAACAACATTTTTACTGTTTTAATAAGTTATTTGAGGGAGCGACCTTAATTATAACAGAATATATACTCAAAATTATATTTCAATGTTTAATAAACAAATCATTTTCTTCCCCATAATTTTAAAATTTTGACGATTGTTCAAAAATACTGGCAAAAGCAATTAAAAGATAAATTATTATTGTTTATAGTGTACACAACTATTCAGATTGTACAAAAATAACAATATAAAAACCAAGATCAGCGATAATATGATACAAACATCATGGGCAAACAATATGCAGTGACAGAATATTTTTGAACGATTGTTAAAATTTTAAGGTCATGGAGAGGAAAAAAAATATGATTTGTTTACTAAATATTAAAATATAATTTTAAATATTCTGTATATTATATATAATTAAGATAACTTTCTGAAATATTAAATAAAATTAAAATTAAAAACGTGTTTGAATCAAATAAAATCTGAATGCATTTATATAAAATAATAATAAGATGTTTTCGTGTATACAACAATACCACACTATAATAACAATGTTGTTAGAACGTGCATCAATTTGCGTATAAATGATCAAAATAGAAAGAGATACCGGCGAACCAATATTTTGGAAACCTGCTGGTGTCATTCATTGTAAGCACTGACAAGTTAAATAAGTGAAGGGAAAGACATGATGGGCAAAAATTTGCCCGAAACGGACAAACGTCCGATCCGTATACGTTCTCTTGTTGAACAGAGTATAGTGGAATTCGGCGGTCGCTTGCTGTTAAATTGTTATTTACATGTCGCGCGGTCATCTCGTCATCTTTGCGCGGCAAGACTTGAAGGGAAAGGAATGCGGCGCGAATTGCTCCATATTAAATTGCGAATAAAGTAACAGAGAATTCAGAATCATTTCTTCTAGCATTTTATCTTACTATTATAATATATTTATTCTGTTGCGATTTAAATTACACTAGTTAACTCTGACTTTATTGTCAATTATATTAGATCAATTTTAGAGTATCTTTAAGGTCCCTGATTCCAAATATGACATACGTTTTTCTAGATTAGCTCTAATTTTTGATATACAATATATATGTATAAACCATATATATATTTATTTTAGGACCCAGACAGCACACAATATTTATGATAAAGAATCATGAATATTTATGAATACATATTTTTTCTCAAATATATAAATATTTTGAAAATCTTTTATAAAAACCTTTATTTAACATATTGTATTATTAAAACATAGATTAAATATTTCATATAATATTTATGGTATGTAAAGATAAATATTTATTATTATTAATTATTTTGTAAATATTTTTTACTAAATTGTTAGTTTTGTCATTTAGCGCTGTGACGTATTTTTCTCGTATTTGATTTTCGTCGTGAGAATTATATAAGGGTGGCAAAAATGGAAATTAATAAAATTAAAAATGTCAAAACTATTTCTATTTTTGAGCTAAATTCTGCAACAGAATGTCTTTTAACAAATAAATTTACGTATA